GGGCGCAGACTAAGTGCCTCTTTTTTATTTTTTGGAGAGGTTTTTGCTATAGGGCGCGTGCGCTCACCGGAGAGACAGAAAGCGAGAAATCACCCCCAGGGGGGATGGCCACGCCGCAATCCCTTCTCCACTCTCCTCTCAGGGTCTTGGGCATGCATCCACACGCACCCGGCGTGAGTTTAAGCCACCGGGTCCGGGACTTGAACCACGGTCGACTACGTAGGAGTCCAGTGACATAGCCATTACGCTCACTGCTGGTCCCCTAAATGCATCTTAAGGACATCATCAATGCGGGGACACAGGGTCACCCTGACACGCCTTGCAGATGCTACAAGGGCAGCAGCAGTATGTCTGAACACGGCTTTGTGTGCGTGTCGTGTGTTCAGGAGCAGTGGGAGAGAGTGGCCTCCCGGCCCGGCCGGGGTGGGAGAGGAAAGGGCGGGCGCTTCGATACTTTCATCCTCACCCGTCCGACCCTGAGCAGTGCGCACACTCAAGACTTGGAGCAACGGTACTCTTTTTCACATGAGCGAAGGGAAACCTGAGCCGTCTGGAGGGCAGAGGTCGTTTCAAAGTAGAAATCACCGGGCTGGCACCGCCCACCTGCGACAACCCTGGCCTGCCACAGAGCCCACGCACCGCGAGACCCCCCTTGCCCCACACATGGTTTCGGGGGAGGCCTGTCCTCCACGCCCTGGTCCCACAAAACCGATGTCCTCAGTTGGTCCGACAGAAGGCATCAGCCTGACAGTAACACCTCATACTCGCTCGGCTTCTGGCACGGGGACACACGCCCACACATGCACCACTCATGATAGGCCTGCACACTCACGCCCACGGACAGCCCTGAGAAAGTGCTAGGCACGTGACTGGCTCCTCGGTACACGCCACCCTGGGGCTGCCCTGTGCTCTGGACGCCGGGTGGCCTGCTCCAAGACTGTGTCCCCACTCCCCAACTTGCACCATGTCCTAACCTACCTTTGGGCAGACCTCCTGGGCCAGGCCCACCCATTCTGAGTTCTACCCGCGTGCGGGCGCCAGGCCAGGCTAATAGAAGCCTGGCCAGAGCACGGCCTGGGCTGGCTCTCGGCCAAATGTGCTGAGCGCCCTGCTCCCCCACCACCGAGGTTTCGCTGGTCTGCACCAGAGCCCCCCAACGAGGCCATCCAGGCTCTCCCAGGGGCACTGCACCTGCACACCTCATTGGCTCTGGCCAGCCCTTGTGCTCCCTGGTCACGCTGCTGCCCACCACCGCAGTGCTGAACGCCCAGCTAGTGTCACTCTGGGCTCTGCCCCCCCAACAAAGCGTCACAGTTCTGACATGGCAGGGCCGCCCTCTTCTGTTCCAGCTCCCCATCACAGCCTGGTGTGCTCCCCGCTGCCAGCAGGCCACGGCCCTAGGTGGCCCGCCTGTGTGCTGGGCATGGCCCCGGGGGCTCTGCTCATTAGCCCTGCCAGTCCTGGCCCAGGCATCTCCCTCCCTCCGCTCTTCGGTGTGGGGGACAGTAAGCCTCGTATTCTAATCGAAACAAAACTGACAGCCTCGGAAAAAGGACCACGAATAAGCTCTATTTCTCAAAAACCAGAGATTTGAAAGCTTTATCAATTCAACTAAAAACGCTTGCTTAAAACCCCCACCCTTGCAGGATCAGCAGGTGGTGTAATGGTTACGTCGCTGGCCTCCCACACAGCCAACCACGGGTCAAGTCCCAGCCCCGGCGGCTTTAAACTCACACTGGGTGTCTGTGTGTGCATGCGTGCCCAAGTCCCGAGAGCATGGAGGAGGGATTGCAGTGTGGCCAGCCCCCTGGGGGTTGGTTTCTCATTTCTGTCTCTTCCTCTGCCTTCACATCCTGAAGCATCACACCCCTGCGGCCCAGCTGCTGCCTTCGAACATGGACGCAGGCGCAGCTCCACACGCTGAATGAAGATGGCCCGCCCTGGGGCTGTGCTAACAGCCGGCACTACCCGCAGCACGCTGCCCACACCGGGCCAGTGGCCAGGTCCCAGATGGGACTGCCACTGCACACTGCCCTCGTGACTTCCTCCTCACCTCGGCATGGAGCAAGAGGGGAAGCACCTGTGTCAGCAGGTGGAGCCGGCCAGGTCACACCCTGCTGGTGGCCCTGGGGTGGCCCTGCCGTCCTGACACAGTCTGTCAGCATGGTGCGTGCACAGCAGCCAGGCCACTCAGACGGGGCCTCTACTCCTACCAGGGTCACTGCGTGCACAGATGTCCAATACCCGTGGGCAGGTATGACAGCCAAACAGCAGGCCACGCCAGACCACTGGCTTCCAGAGCAGGGGCTCCAGCGCGGGCGGTCACCTCCCAGAGGAGTGCAAAGCCAGAGGCAGCTCTGAGCACAGCATGGCAGCGAGGGTCCCGCTTGGCACTCCATGGGGACGCAGCTGATACTACCAAACTTCTGCCCAGGAGCAGCTCACACCCTGGTTGTGAAGAGCGGCTTACCCCTGAAGCACACCACTCCAGCGTTCTCAGGCTGCACGCCTGGGCGACTCCTCCAAGTGCAGGCCCAGCTGCCCGGGGTCTTTGGGGCACCACCTGCTCGGTTGCTGGCTCGGGCGTGGCTTGCTTGCACCTGGGGATGGTTCCAACAGCTGGACTGGCTCCTGAAGGAGAACTCTGAGGTGCCTGCAGAGAGTGGTGAGGATAGAGGGCTCCCCCCTCCACACAGCGGGGAGGGGACAGGCCCCAGCTCGCGATCCCTGGAGAGGCCGGACAGAACGATGCTCCTGAGCCTCAGGGCCGAGCTCCGCCAGGTGGCGCTCTGACCATCTCTGCAGCCCAGCTGGGTTGGGAGACTCCTGCCAGGGCTCGGCGGGGGGCAGAACCCCAGGGCTGCCCCAAGACAGGGTCCTCTCGGCGCCGCCAGCGGAGGCCCAGACTTTGCTCCTCTGAGACGAGGCGTGGCCTGGAAGGCAGAGGGCAATCCCAGGTCCGCCTCCGTGCCAGCGAGAGCTGACGACCTGACCAGAACGGTGACGGGGGCACAACCGTCCCTGTCAAGACGCCAGCGGAGTGACAAGGACAGAAAGCCAAGAGGCGGCACGCTGCTTAGACGCCACCCCGAGTCCCACGAGCCAGGCCCACTCAGACCAGAGCGGCTGTGAAAGGCTCTCCAAGCCAATCATTTTTAACAAAAAACTTTATTTTTAATAAATACAATGAAAAGTATTTCAATAAATACTTTCTTTCAAATAATAACTACAGTTTCAGGGAATGCAAGTATAACCTGGACGTAGCTTAGAATATTCCACCTTTCAATTTTGCCTGAGAAAAATTTAGTCTGGGCCTAGAGGCCGTCCAGAGACCGCACTGCTTGGGAGTGCTGCCAGGGCCGCAGGACGTACTGCAGTCCATCTTTGGTGTGCACACACCCACACATGCACACCCTCACAGCTACGCACACGCGTGCACAGGTGTGTGCGTATGAGAAGACGCTGTGGCTCGTGGATCTGAAGATAACGGAACTTGCTCAAGCTTCAACGACCTCGAGCGCCAACTCCTCAGGGGCCCGAGTTCCAGCACTGCTGAGGGACCAGGCAGGCTCCGGCCCCTTCTGGGCGTTTAATGACACTGTCTTCACACGGGGGGGTGGGTCCCCAGGGGGCAGGGCAGCCTGCCGTAACACCACTGCGCTTCGGAGCAGCCACGGAACGCGAGCCACCCGGCACGAGGCCAGTGCCACGGCACAGGAACTGCCGCAGGGACGTGGGAAACTCACCGAGCTCACAGCTGGGAGCTACAGACTGGCAGCATGACCCCAGCCACAGCCCGTCTGGAACCGCCTGCCAAGCACACAAGGCCGCTGCAGAACACGGGGCACTTCTCAGCTGCCCGGGAAGCACCAGCCTCGAGCCTGGGCCCTGGGGACTGAGGCCGCGCAGGCAGGTCCCAGGTTTCTGTCCCTAGACCTCCTGTGCACATGGGGTGTGCGCACCGTCACTGGGGCTGGCTGAGGCGTGAGGACCCCGCAGCAGGGGCTCTTCTGTCTTCCCCCTCTCATGGAAGAACCAAAGGGAAAAGGAGTGCGAGTTGCCACCTGCTGACTTAACAGTATGAGACCCGGCCCGCTAAAGACCTTTCTCAGGAAGTCCCACACGTTGACAGAGTTGCAATTTTCCAGAAGTACCTCTAGCTTTTCCCTAAAACCAAGCAAGTTCCACTTAGTTCAACAGGACCGCGTGAAATAAAACCCGTGAACTTCGGTCAAGGGAGGAGCTGGGTGACACTTGAACAGAAAGAATCAGAAGCAGTCAGTGCTATTGCATCCGAGTGCTTCCTGAAGATAATACGGTGGAAGGGCGGCACACTCGCAGTGGGGCGAAACACACGCGCAGCAGCTCTGGGCAGCCAGAGCGCAGCTGATGACACGGCACGTGGCCTGAACACTCTGGACCAGGCTGGCTGCGCCCATGCTCGGCACTGTGTCCCCATCCGTGTACACGGCACGCCCCTCCTGTCTAAGTCCCAGGATCGTTACGCCCACCCTTAACTTCCCTTACTCACCTTCCACGGTTCCTGCAGTTCCAGACAGACTCAAGTAACACACCCAAGAAAACATGTGCAAAACTCGTGCCAGCGGCTCCAGGCTCCCCCTGC